ATTATGTACATAAATAAATTAGAAATATTTATTACTTGYTGGTCCCGGCCAGTGTCTCCTGAAATGGCTGTGACTACCAAATATGGTATCAAAAATAAGATTTTCCGGAGCGCAGTGGAAAGACCTTTCGATCCCCCTGCCAGTTTAATTTTCAGACAGCATCAACTTTTCATCAAACAAGTTGATGGAACGTTAAATGTTGGTTTGCCAAACAACGCTTTATTGTGTTTGATTATCCAACATTAATTTCTAGTTTGCTCGAGGCATTTCTAGACTGATTCCACCAGTCTGTCAGGTCGCTCTTTTTATTCATTTTTATTTTTTTTTTTTTGCTCCCGGACAGTTTTGCTCCCGGACAGTTTGAGCGACAAACCGAAAAATCAAGGAGCGAATACTCACTACGACTTATGGAATCAGTCTAGAGGCAYTTCTTGTCAAAATGCTTGACATTGATTGATTTTTCATTTCTGATTTGCTGTAATCAATGATTCTCGACCCGTTGGTCTACAATATTCGACTCAGAGATATAGTTCAGATAAGATAAGTTTTATCCGATATATTCATTTGTCTTCGTCCTACTTTTTCTTGAATGAGAAACATTATACCGTATGTTCAGAATTTCTTTGTACGCATTATATACATTATACCAACAGCAAATATTTTTTTCATCACGATGTAGAGCACTGGTAGCGTAAACTATGTTCTAGGTGGTCACGTGACAGCTAKTGATATATAAGTGATTGCGCAGATAATTGCTCCCTAGCCACTCCTCCTTGAAACTACAAAACTACTACTTGACAACTAGCTCATGTTGATCTTAAAATTTCACAACAGCTTTCAGCTCCCCAGCAAGTGTTTTGTCTCTTCGGAGAAGTGATTGTTTTCCCATCAGTTATTTTCGTGTCCAAGACTCGTTCCCATCAGGTCTTTTTTTCAAAGTTCACCCAGAAAAAGGCCCTGGGAACTTGAACATAAATGTTGGAAAAACTGCCTAAACGCGCTAGTCTGTTTTTTTTTATTATCTAATTACCTTCTTTAAACTATTTCACTTCGTCTTGCAACAGTAGCTACTCTACAGAGTGATCTACAGGGTGAGGAAAAATCAACAACTTATGATACTTTCTTAATTTTTTCCGTTGAAGGGAGAGGGAGGTTCTGAATTTTCCTCGTAAGAGGAAGGGGTGGGACCGGTTGTACATGCATTGTGGGATATGTTTGGGACAGAAAATGTCGGATTTCTTTTGTTTTCTCTTGAAACTGATCCCACAATGGATAGCAAATCAAGTATAGACGGTTCAGAAGTCTATTGATAATAATTATTAGTATAAACATACTAATGGTCTATCACTCATACTACGCTGTGATTGGCTGCTCTACTAATGGTCTAATTTGTGATAGACCACTCGCGGGAAAATCAAAATAAATAAACTATAAATTATTTTAAGGATMTTTCAATTTGTTTTAATTATTTGACCGATTAGTATGTTTATACTAAAACAATTAGACCTCTCGGCCTCGTGGACTACGAGCTAATAGCCCATTCGGCCTCGCGGACTCGGCCTCATGGGCTATTAGCTCGTAGTCCAYTCGACCTCGAGGTCTAATTGTTAACTAGTCCACATATAATCATAGTATACAAGTTTTTCAAAAATGTTGAATACTTAATACTGACCTCCAAGACCGCGATGCATTATTAGTGTTCAATCACTACTCAAATGAGTACCTAGACAGGAARCCCATCGTACAAAAATATCATGCAAAAACACAATAAAAACATAAAATATAAAGTAAAATTTAAACTTCATTTCATATTTCCTATTTATTCACATAGTACAGAGACAAAGGTTTAAAAACAGTAAGACTTGATTAGAAGATAGCCTCTTCATATTTCTGGCTATCAAAGTCAACACTGAAAGCYCGTGCATTTGAAGAAATCTCCGATAAACATTTGATTCTAAATAATTTCCCAATAATTGCAATTGTATCATTTATAATTTTATAAGCCGCTTGTAGTGATCACACGCTCTTCAATTGTTTGCCAAGGTATTCCCTGAAAAAGAAACAATACGAATGAACTTGTAATTCAAAGAGCCTCAATTTTTACGTTTTCGGAACGCTGGGTATTACGTAATGGTTATAATATGCCCAAGAGATCTGTATGTGGATCTAATATAGCAAACCACTGCGAGATCTATTAAAAATACGAATACAGATCGAATACGAATATTTTTTTTCTTGCGTAATAAACCTCTTGACAAGCTTTTGTATTTATTTCTAAAACTTTAAAAATAGCAGAAAATTATCCAATCTCGTACCCAGCGSCCCTGTCCCTATTACCGCGCATGCTCGACGGAAAACAGTGGATCTGGCTCTAACATGGATATTTTTGGATATGGATATTGGCTTCATATATGTATTCATATCAACATGCAGGGAACATTGGAGTGAAGTGCAGTGTTGCTTTATATCTGATGAATAATGATGGATTAAACTTCACTTAATGTTTTATAAATTGATGTTCTATTAGGTTTTGAAGGAGCCAATCATGTGATCCAATGGCCGATCCTCATTGGATTAACAGCTCATGAATTATTAATGAATTCGATCAAATAACAAAGCAAATTCGTACCAATTGTGCACCATGACTTTCTGTACCGCTAGCAAGGCTTCTTTGCGTACGTTAGGGTCGTTATGTGTCATCATTCGCATGACCTTTTCTTTACAACCTAGCGACTCGATTACACTATGAATGAATCAAAGCACGGAATTATTCAAATAATTGATTGACCGTTTTCACAAYGACGTCACAGCATAGATATATGGGGAAGGGGAGGGGGGCACTTCATTGTGCCCTATCTTACCGTTTTCCCCTTGGAAAGTGTCGAACATACTCTCCTGTGTCGTGAGCAGCGATGCAGAGGGTGGTAGAATCTTCAGAGGAGTCCATTAGATGAGCTAGAATCCTTATAAAAATACAAAGTGTCAAAGAAAGATTGAAAGCAATACTCTAGACACAAGAGGAAAAAAGGGCGGAAGGGAAATGAAAATGGAAGGAAKCATGCAATGGGAGAATTAGAAAGAGGAAGTTAGAATGGAGGAAGGAAGGCATGCAAGAATGGGACGAGATAAWTAATAATAGAAGAGACATATTTACACGTACTTCAATATTTCATAGTTTTTCTCATTGAGGCGATGAGCATTTTCCCTCTGAAAAGGAAAAAAGAAGCAGACATGTTCACAACTTTGTTGCAGAATCCTTTAAATGAACATAAAGTCGGTCACAAAGTATAAAAAGTGTTTGCTTTACCCAGAACTTTTCAGATTTGTGAACAGGACTCCACTCYAGTCTCCCTGACCTCACTTCGGCTGCATATTCATCAAAATTACTGAGAGAAAAATGGCATTTTATATTATAAATGAAAAACAGAATTGTTTATACCTGTTGAATTGCTGTGACATTTTCTCAGTAACAAAACGTTTTCTGTTGTATAACCAAAATAAGTGACATTTATTTTACCCTAATGTTTATCATTTCGTACATCATTGATGTACATCAACTCGAAATTTTAGGTTAAGATTTTATTGAAACTTCGTCAGTATATCAATTATGTTATTAAAAAATGATTCTGAAAATTTTATTACAATCTCTGCGATGAGTTTCGAGAAAATTAACTTTGAAGAAAAATAAAGGTGTTTTTATTTTGCATCGTTTACAAAAAATGGCATCGCTTTTTGGCAAATTAATTTATCAACAAGAATTATCGATAATCACTGTTACTTCTGTGAAAATTTGAGTGCAATGGAATCGAAATTTGCGACGTAGTTGGGGCTTAAAAATACGCGCGAAACGCTATTTATTACGATCGAAACACCTTAAGGGATATCAGGCTTAATCTCTTCCCCCTGCTTTGACACTATTAGATGCTATAAAATGTAAGCAAAGGCAAGGATAAAACTGAAGCATTAAACCACTCACCTTAAGTCTTGCACAACTTCATTCAATTTCTCGTAAATGTACTCCACATCTTCCTGGAGATAAATAGAGAATAAACCATAAAAAAAGATAGATAAAAATCGCTAGAAAACTGAATTTCATGAAATGCCTTTTTTCAGTAACTTTTGTCTTGGTTAAGTGCATACTAGTCCACTCTCGCAGCCGTTACGAGGATCGTCCCCAGGTCACTCCCCCAAGCAGCCGTTAGAYGGTGATCTGGGGACGAGTGTCGTAACGGCTGCGAGGGGAGACTAAAGTGTATCATGGTAATGATGAAAGTATTAAGATGGCGGACGCTATTTAAAAATTCAATTCTCTATAATGCTTTGAAGAAAAAGAAAAGAGGTTCTTACAMTATAGTGTAATTATACTAAACCCTCCTGCCACGAATCATGGCAGTTTTTACAATCGTCAATCCCATGGTGCATCACTAAACAACACATGACGTCATCAAAGGAAAGGATTAGATGATGCAATACCTGGATATCTTCATCTGCCCATGGTTTACCATTGAGAATAGACAAAACCTATAATATACATTATAGCCTGTTACATCCTTGAAAAGCCTTACAACTTGTGTAAATAATGCTCCAGTTTCGAAATCTCTTGAATACAGCCTTAAAGTCTCTATTTCAACTTCTATTGTTTCCTTTACGTACAGAGTTTTTGTATTACAATAGGTCTTTAAAATGAAAAAAAATACATATTGCACGATTTTGAAGCTAAGGCTGCGCGAATAAGATCTCGAAACTGGAGTCTGTCTTTGATGTCACCTCATTTTCCATACATGAAAAATCTAAAACACGACCGCATTGAATGCTGGTTGACCATGCCCCTTTAAAGATGAATCATTTTCCAGTCTTCTTCGATAACTTACATGAACTAGTTTGCTTTGTATCATGGATACTGCTGCATCTTTCTTTTTCTCTTCTGGCTTGTCCATTAAGTTCTGTTTAAAAAAAAACACGCCATATGACCTTCAGTAAGCGCTCTTCTCAACGCTGAGAGGGACGGTTGCGTGATCGAAACTAACGGACGAAAAAAAACACGATTCTATAATGCACAGTAATAGACTTCTGAACCTTTTACGTCGTTACTTGATTTTTCAATGCATTATGGGATTAGTTTGTAGAGAAAACAAAATAAATCCGCCATTTTCTGTCGGACACACGCCCTACAATACATTGCGTATGCATTTCGTAAAAGCTACAAAGGTCCATTAAAGGCCCATGTGAACGCAAGATCGGATAGCATGTGAACCAATCAGATAGCATCGTCCAAAAATATATTTTTTGTTAAAGAAAACAAACGATCGCAAAGGTTGTCGGATGTACAAGAGCCTTTAAGTATGATTTTACTATCGGTGTTGTTGTTACCCTTAGCGTTGCTATGATAATCCTGACAACTTTCTCTTTGTCTGATTCCCTAAGGACGTCAGCCAATACAGGAATGACAGCACTGTTACTGTTGAAAGAGAGGTGTACACTGTAGAACTGTGTCAACTAAAATTGTCATTGTAAAGACTACATTAGATTGCGCAACTTTTGCCTAAAATCATTAATGATGATAATGATGACGATGATAATGTTAACGGTGATGACAACGACGATGATGATGCTCAAAAAATTGCACGCAACCTGATCAAGTTATCTTTACAAAATGACAGCATCTGTAGTATTGGCTCAAAACAATTCTTGAATACATTACAACTGTTGCAGATATGTTGTAAAGCTGGCCGATATTAGAAGTGACGGAAGAACGTTTTCCTACAACTATCGCATGCAACACTCTTTAAGGCCGATTAACGCGGTAAAATTGTCGCGTGGGACTTGTGGCATGCGATTTTCGTACGACAAAATCGTAGGCTGTGTACGACTGTTGCAGAGAGGTCTTATTAGCATTTACACTGGGCGACTTTAGTTCACTTGAGTCGCACGCGACAATCGTAACGTGTAAATCGGCAGTCATSTTACAAAATGGTTGCAACTTTCTTGGGACTAATAAACAATCACTTAGAATCTCTACGACACTTGTAACTATATTTTAAAGATAACAGGTTGAATATAATGCTTGTATTGAAAAAGTTGTGCCGCCTAAATCGGGATTAAAACTGAAAGGCAAAGAACAAACGTACTAGCTTTTTACAGAGCTTTTGAGAGAAGCATAAAAATATTAATATTGCAAAGGTCATTTAGGTACCTACCCAACCATYCGCTGTGCAATTCTAGGATCAAAGGACATTAGCCAGAGGGTGAATATCAACTGGTATTGTAACTGGAACCCAATGTTTGTACTCAGTAGGGTTGATACAATACTAAAAAAAGAAACACTGGTTTCAGGACATGCACTGAT